CCAGGAAGAAGTTGATAGTTTTTTAGCAAATTCAACTAAAAAAGTTAATGCTGACTTTATTCTTGATCTAGCAGCTTTCGATATTATAAGGAGTAGGGATCGTGGTAGGATATTTATTTATACCAGAATTTCTTATCCTGTATTTTATCTTCACAATCATGTTTATTATAAATATAATCATAGGCATTCCTTTGTATAATGAGGCTCGACTATATTTTGGTTTTCCTAAAGCCCAATCATTTGCTGACATTTCCACAAGCCCAATTATTCAACAAAATTTGGCTAAAATCTATCCAAATGGTGAATATAACAGTCATTTGTAAGTTTTTTTATAAATGCTAATTGACAAATAATGCAATTTTTTAAATTTTTTTCATTTTAGGAGTTGATACTGTAGAAGCGTTTGTTGGTGCGTTGAGTGAAGATCATTTAAATGGTTCAAATTTTGGTATGGTTTTGAATGCAAGCTTGGTGACGCAGGTAGTCATTGCTCATATGTTTTGGTTATGAATATTTTAATTATATGGTTGTGTTAAATTCTTTATCATTATATATTTTTTTTAAATTAAGTATACACATATTAGGGATTCTGATAATTTTTGGTTCGAAAAGCCTAATATGTTTACTTCTGATGAACGGAATATCATAAGAAATACTACACTTCGAAATATCATAACTCGTAACATTAATAGTAATGTAAATTTCCCACAAAATATTTGGTCCGTTCAGCCTCAAAAGTCACTTAGCAATAGTGATGATAGTAATTATCCAACCAAGATTAGCACTTGGAGTCAATATATTGTGAGTTGTAGAGTTGATTTGAATTATGTGTACTTCAAAGTTCAGCTTCAAACTTCTGATGGCAATGGTTGGTTTGGAATGGTAAGCTTAAATACGTTTTTAATAATTAGTTTTTGAATATTCTCTTATCCAGTCGGTTCATTATGTCAACATATATAATAGGGGTTTGGTCCAGAGGATGAAGGAATGAAAGGTGCTGAATTTATCATTGGCATTGTAAGTCTCAATTAAACGTATAAATTGTGTTTTGCAAGGAAGGATTGCTATCTAACACTTTACGTTATCAAAGGTTTCTAATGGAAATGTCACATTGGAAAATTATCATGCCGATGTGGGTGGTTACCATCCTCCCATTCGTGATTCCGATTCCGATCAAGATCCTACTATTGTACCAAAGGTTTCTATGTCTGATAACAGTGCTGTGACCGTAGAGTTCAAAAGACTTCTCAAGCCGCCAGGTAGAAAACCCATTACTAATGGTGATATGAAATGTGCGATATTTAATTTTTATATGATATTCATTATATTATATCGTTGAAATTTTGTAATGTTGAAAACATTAATCTATTAATGTATATACAGATATCTTAGCTTATAATCCAAACAGCAACGCCTTCTCTTATCACCAAAATAATCGTATGTTGTTTCGTGTGAACTTTTACAATAGCGAAATTAATTCCGCGACCTCAAACAACCTCCAAAGGCTGGTTAGATTAATTCACGGCTGTGGAATGTTCTTTACATGGTGGTAAATAAAATGTTTTCTATACCGTCAATATCAACTCCTAAAAGGAAATAGTCGAAAAAAATGAGACAATATATAATCTTTACTAGGAAATGACCCTCTGAAGCTTATGATTTTGTGAATAAAAATTAAAATTGCCAACCATCTAGTTGTCCAATTTGAATGAGCCTTTTTTTATCTTATGTAGTTAAATAAGTTCTACAAAATAATAATATTAATAATAATAAAAATTCATTCGAATGAGATGACTAGATGGCCGGATATTTAATTTATATTCACAAAATCAACATAACCTTGGAGAGTAATTTTCCTAGCAAAGATCCCATATCCAGTCAACCCTCCATAATGCACGCACTATATATTTCCTCTAAATGCACATTCAGTCTCAAGTATATAAAGCATTCTCCATAAATGCACACCCTCTCTAAAATGTAAGTTTTTAAAAATTTTCCTATAATCACATTTACGGAGGGTTGACTGTAATAGGTGATATATAGTTTATTTCTAAAGCCTTTAGCGCCTTAATCCTATACTTTATTTTCACACTTTTAAGTTTCCTTTTAGGAATTGGTATTAATGGTACAAATAAGAAATCTCAACCCATTTTTTATGTTACTAGATAATTATCTAAACATTATTGTATTTCTTAGCATCTTATTCCCAATTTCAGTCTTAGTCGTTCGGTACTGGAAGGTATGTGTTTTCTCTCGTAAACCGGATTAAATCCGGATTTTATGCTATTATTAGTCTCCTGCAACGCCGATAGATCAAATTTCTGAAAATTATACGTACTACGTATATAGAATGCTGACACAAAATTTATTATTTATAGCATCATAATCTACATCTTAGAGCTCATCGATTTATACAAGTTACGGGCGGTATTTCCGCTACAGCATTTGGTGCTGCTGCCATTTCTACAGTGGTGGCGACACAAACGCCGCATGCTTGGTATTATCTCATCATCATACATTATATTTTATTTTGTCTGTTTGTTTTTACTATCGCTATTACTTCTTATATATTGACTATTGGCAAAATTTAGGACGGGATTGATAATATATACTTTAGCATTTTTTGAATTAGGTATTTTGTAATTATCGAAATTTCAATTTAATTAATTCAATTAATTTAATTGTTTGACATTCCATAGGCCTTGGTCTAGTCGCTTTTTGGGGACAATCGTCTGTGCTATCAGTTAATAAGGTCTGTTTCTGCATTTGACATTCATAAACTTTTTATTTAATAAATTAGTTAATCATATATCCATCATTTGTTAGGGCTATCCAAGATTTACAAAACGCTTACATAAAATATTTGGTTTGGCGCTATTATTCACAGCATGGTAAAAATTATTGTAACCATTCGCATTTACTGTCTTGTTTTCAATTTCCTGATGTATTAAAATATATAAATTCTTTTGTTATCTTTTTTGTTATCAAAAAATTTAGGGTTAATATTTATCTTGGTGAATATTTAAATAAAATTATTTTATATATAGTTGTAAATTTAATATCTTAACCGTTTTTATATCGATTTTTAGGAATCGATACATACGCCCTTTCTTACGGCTAGTAAGTACAATACTTTCAATATATTT